CGTAACACCGCTGTGCGCATAGTGCTAGTGTTGGTGTTCCTGTTGCTCGTGCTGTCAATCATCACAGGGTTTAACTGCTGTTGTTGTTTCTGTTGCTGCTGTAGACCGTGCCGCAGAAAAAGGTTAAGATTCATTAATATATAATCGCTGATGGTAAGGGTATTTTAACCCCCGACACTTCCGTACCGAAGAACCCCTCACCCCACCCCGCGAAGAAAACGGAGGATGCTCAAAGGTTGAGGAGGGCATCTTTCCCACAATTTCACACGCGACGGGCTTGATTCAGTTTAATTCAAGTTGTTGTTGCTGGACTGAATATCTTTAAGTCGCAACTGTGTATCACTGAGAAGGATGCCTAAAATCAGTGTTTTCATAATAATAATAATAATTTATTATTTATTAGGCGCAAAATAGCATTCAAATATATGATCTAATGCGCATTACCACAACCGATTGGAGAAGCCACCCACAATGTCAGCGTAGTTACTAAACAGGTGTATTAGTTAAGAGAACAGTCCAAAGTAAATGCAATGCGTTAAATATTGTACCCCCTTGAAGATGCACTTGTCGTGCATGCCGTTAGGTTGTGGTACAGAAATATAGACATAAATAACAAAACAGCAAAGAGAAAAGCGACTTGAGGTTTGCCGATATTTGTGGTACAGTAGATTATCTTTCAGCAGATAAGCAGTTTAGCAGTGATCAACATAAGGCTGGAGTCATCCTGAACTGTAAATGGTAGTTAGTAAGAAATGTGGCCAGCATTTCGCCTCTAAAGAGTCGATCACTCCTTTTGTCTATTCTAATTGAATAACTGCTTTTCACTCTTTCGCAGGTCGCTGATCATCATTTAAAGGAGAAAATTACGGATCCTTCCTATGTACATTCATACGCCCATAATTTCTGATATTTAAAGTAATTAATTCGGCGGTTGAAAAAATGTATATGGCTCCTCTTAACTAAGCAGCAAGGGGAAACTTAATCCGTGATTGTCACCACAGGTAGCCCAAGCTCGAAATATGAGCATCGGCGAGCATCGGCATTGTTGCGTTACATTCAAAATATAGGGATTTGTATGGGAAAAAAACCTATCGTTTCTGTAACCTACGAAAATGAAAGGATTTCAGTAAAAAACAGCTTACCTTATTTAAAATGTGTGTTACGTCTCTCCTGTGTGGTCCAAACCGTTTACATAAAAACCCATAAAACGGCCATAACTCGGCCCGTGGACCACACAGGAGAGACGTAACACACATTTTAAATAAGGTAAGCTGTTTTTTTATTGAAACACTTTCATTTTCGTGGGTTACGGAAACGATAGGTTTTTTTCCCATACAAATCCTTATATTTTGAATGTTACGCAACAATGCCGATGCTCGCCGATGCTCATATTTCGAGCTTGGGCTACCGGTGTTGTCAATGGTGGCTTGGTGACTACTGGTGACATTATCGTCGTGCAAGGATCAGTGTCACTACTTGTAAGCATAATTTGTTTTTTCGACAGTGATATTTATCCCCTTAGTATTTTAAAAACTAATGATTTGGGGGAATTAATCACGACATGTGTAAATGATAGTATGATTATTTAATTCAGTGTTGTCGGTATTAGTATTTTTTTGTCTATAAAGTGAATAAAGTTTATTGAAACGATGTACGAAAGCACAGTGTAATAAAATTCTTTTAGTGCTCAATCCCTTTATGGCGAAGAGAAAAACAAGCAAATCTTAAATGATATTATGATGACCTAACGTTGTGATATCCTGGTATCTCCGTTAAAAAGATAGGCCTTAATATTCAAAACAAGAGAAAATATTTAACTATACTTTGCGAAAAAGACAAAACAAATTGAATAACAAACAAAAATCCAATCGAAAGTTTTACTCTAAATTCCATGTACATGTGTACAACCCCGCAACTGAAAAATGTACACTGTATTAGGGAATATAACAAAAATATCGTTCGTTAAGCAAACTGTTGGCTATATGAGATTTTTTTGAACATTATCAAAAAATCCCTCATCAGATCACAAAACGCATTTCTATGTAATCAGTAACCATGACGAATTTCAAAAATAAACATGACCGCAGGTAATATCAATTGCATGAATATTCAAATTTCTCGGATCTGAATATTTAAGCAAAGCAATCTCGATGGGTTTGCTGTGTAAGTTTGGCACAATGACGCCCAAGTTGTCGATTGGTTTTGCGGTCTTCTGTATTCTTTCCTCTGTTATAGGTACGTTTTTCAGTCAAAAACCGAGTTTTAATTATATAATTAGTTGGATATAAGCTCTGTAAGAACATGGCCTCTTATGGTACTAGAATTTATTCTCGTTTGTTATTGAACTGTGGCTCGCAAATGTGGAAAGGCGACAGGCTTTGTCGGATTTTAGCAATGAGTTCTGTTTTACTCTAGTACCTAGAAGTATGTTTTCCTTTTCGGAGGAGGAATTTATTGTAAATTAAGGCTTTGAGGTTTGTTATTTAGATCACTACACCCAATTTCAACGACGCAAGTAGTATTTATGAAAGGCACTCTTAAAAAATATGTGATGCGGGCTGAGCTGATATTAGGAAAATATTGAACCTTTTTTTTGTAAAATCACGGACAAAAAAAAGTCTAAAACTTCTATGGGGCCTGAAATTTTATTGTTTAGGTTTCAAACAATCATTGAAAAGTCATTTGATTTGAAACCATATCCACTGTACAGCCCCAAACGAAAACATTTCTTCTCGTTTAAAATTTATTGTCTTTTGTGAAGGACATAAATTTTAAATGACTCTTGCCTGTGTTTTTCCAAAGCTACTTGCTCGCGCCTTTTTTGAAACTTGAGGGCCTGTATTTCTCAAAATCTTGGTGTTCCATGAAATTTTTTGCATTATTTGGAAGGTGTTACATGTATTATTCTACATGCGAAAGTTCGAGCAGAACTTATATTTTACGAGCTTTTGAATTCGCGCGAGCAAATATTTAAACAAAAAAAGTTTGTTTTCACGAAATATTCATCCTCTTATGATGTAACATCGTATATGAATGATGCTGTCTTTATCAAATATCACACTTTTCGAAAAATTACAATTCAGGATTTGAAAAAACAACCGCATAAAGCAGGAAAGGCCCTCTGGAGATGAACTTTGAAATGTAAATTAATTCTAACATGTGAACAGGTGATTATGCTTCTCACATGTTAGTTTTTGTGAATAGTGATAACCTGCTGTACGCTGTACGTTACCTGGCTTAAGGCCGATACACACGAGGTGTTTTGCTCCCGGAGCATGCTCCAGGCTCATTGTGCACATGTCAGTACACACGAGGGAGCGTTTTCAAGTTCGCTCAATTTGCCCCGGGAGCTTGCTCCCAAATATTTGCCCTGTTAAATATCGTGGAGCATTTTGCGGGGTGGAAATTCTGCTCCCGAGGATGAAGTATACCCATGAAATCGTTGGTACACACGGAGGAGCTTAGCTCCCGAAGCGTGCCCCTGGAGCATGCTCCCTGAGCAAAATCCCTCGTGTGTATCGGCCTTTTAGCCTACTAAGCGAATATTCTCCATGTAGCAAATATATTGAACAAAGCTAGGATCGTACATGTACTCTGGACGCTTTTTGTTGATTTGTGACGAGCGGCATTATTCCACCCTTTAGTTTCGTTGTTGCTGCCTGGTTGTTATTTACAGTATGTTGCTGTTGTTGCTGCTACCACTACGCGTTCAAAAGCTCCATAAAACGACCAGCAATAATAAAATACCTAAAGTTTTTGCGTACGTGTTGCTAGAGTAGAACGTCTAGCAAACAGTTATGTATAGAGTACCGAAGTGATGACGTCATAAAAATGAAATTTGTGAAATTATGGGATTTGTTAAGATATTCTGAAAGAACAACGTCAAAGACACCTACTCGCCAAAAATTAGCAGTTCGGGGCAAATTGTCCCTGAGATATTAGCCCAGTTATGCTGTGACGACTCCATACATATCCTTCTAAATTTGGCTTGGTTCATAAGATTAGGAACCAGGTAAGATTTAGAAGGATTTGTACGGAGTCATCGGAGCATAACTGGGTTAATATCTCAGAGACAATCTGCCCCAAATTGCTAATTTTTGGCGAGTAGGCGTCTTGGACGTTTTTCTTTCGGAATATCTTAACAAATCCCATAATTTCACAAATTTCATTTTCTATGACGTCACACTTCGGTACTCTATTGGCTCGCATGCCTGTTACTTCATGTTCAGTAAAGCAGATCATGTGCTCTTTCATTACGAAGGAGTCCAGCTCATTTTACAGTAGGTTCGAAATATCGCGTGAGACCAGTGATAAAAGGCCATTTCCGAGTTCCAGAAACCCTCTTTTTCAAGCCAAGGCCAACTGCAAAACCTTTTTTTGCTAAAATAAGTTGTAAATAAAAATATCATTTTCACATCAGTGGATTCGCACTTAACCTCGCTTTCAGACAGAGGCTGACGGCAACTCGGAAATGGCCTATGAATTATTATGGCGCAAGCAAAGGCAAGGCATTATGGGAACGAGAAGAATGGTGGACAAAATGTGTCCCGCCATCCTTTGCGCCAAAATTCATCAAGCGAGTTATGACGAACCAAGATTGATTTATGGTAGTCCCGACCACTGAAACCAAGAGAGGAAACGTGAATCCTTCACCTCCGATGTTCAATATTATAGTGTTTTTTGTTTTGTTTTGCTTTTCTTTTGGACCCCTAAAACACTCAGACATGTTGGGGTTCAATACAATAGAAATATACATGAAAATAGAGTTTAGTTCCCAGATGAGAGAAATGCTTTTATTTTTGTCTATCAACACGGCCGCCGTGACGACATGTGCAAACCAGCAATTGAACTAACTATATATTTGATTAGACTTGCCATTTACTGTCCAAATTATGAAACGAATTTTAGAACGTACCTTGACGCAACAGAGCCCGATATCTCGATAAAACTGAATTTTTTATGTGTCTTACACACACCTACACAGTTGAAAATCCCACTGTCTCTTTCTTCCAACCTTAGTTGCAAAGAAAGACCACGATTACCAAGACCCGTACGATTACGAAGAAGATTACGGTAATGATGAGAGTGGTGATAGTGGCAATAAATGCCCAATAATAGATCTTCCTCCCGGACTCGGTGGCAGATGTGATGTCAGCGATCTTTGCAGCAAAATCACGTGCGATGTGAAGGTGCAAGGAAGGCATGCCACGATCGTTTTCAAAGTGAACAGATGCGAGGATCCGCTGACCGCTACAGTGACATTTAAATCACCTGGGTTTGTCGTTGATTGGTCGCACACTTTCAAGGATGGTGACGTAATAAAACTCCCAGAAGACCATACCATCACTGAAGGATTAAACTCGCTTGCTAAAGTCTCTGTTTCGCTCAAAGTTGGACTGAAGAGAAATGGAGAAAAACTGCACTTCAAGGTATTTTTTCTCGCCTTATTGGCTCATATACCTCCGTATACAACTAGAACCAGGGCCAGTGCGTTCTTCAATGAATGCCCCTATTTGCTGTGCCCCATTATTACGATATAACGATATAATGAATCGGCAAAACAATAACTGAATAAAGATCATGGGTATAAACCGTTTTTCAATCTTTTTAGCCCTGCACAAGCACCAAATTGAAAAAGGCGTACTAGAGCAAGTCGAACTAACATGGCGGCGGGTGGGAGTATCCCATTTCTAAAGTATAAAGCAACTATTAAGAACTAACTAACCCCTCCCGCCGGGCCTGAGAGGTTGTCCGCTTAGCAGTATGTCCGCATTAGTACCCATATACCAATTAACCTGGGTAGAGAGAGACGTTTATTGTATCAGAATCAACCCGAGCACATGTTAACCTCTGATGATGTATTCATTTTAGCTGGAGTTGATGGGCGATGCCAATATACCCCTGCTACGCTCAAAGGATCATCCATTCGATGCTAACCTTCTGGAAGGAGAAATTCCACTTTCTTCCAAATATTGCGGTAAGGAATGAAATAGAATGTCTCTAACCAGAACCAATGTGATCATATTAGCAAGTCCGGTCTTAAAAAAGTTCATTAAATCTCTCTCAAAAAAAAAACGAGAGAGAAAGGAAAGGGAGAAACCTCTAAAAAACATAGGCATCGAACGTGAAAGTTTGAGAAATAATAACAAGGCACTTTCATTTCAACAACATGAAAAACGAAACCAACTTTTCAATATGCCTTTTTTAGGTTTCAGCGCCTGGTACAACAGACAGCCACGTTACATTAAGATGCTGACGATCGCTGGTCCAATCCTGGGCTTCATCTTTTTGTTCATTCTTACTATTTGCTGTGGAATGTGGTGTAAGCGCCGTGCGCCTGCGCGACTTCAGGTTAACCTGCCTACTCATCAGCCCCAGATCCTCTCAACTCAGAGTAAGGTGCCAATGCAACAGCTGGTCAACGAGGCATAAGTTCGTGGACTCACAAGCCACCCACATTGGTTCGCTTCTACTCACATGCCTGATATCTTTAATTTTTATTAAGTATTGGACTCCATAGTAGAGAATAGTTAGATGCGAAAGATGTCGTCAAATGGTCTTTTCTTTTTGGAGAAGGAAATCAGATTTTTGTTACAAAGTTAACGAAGGAAATAATCGACTTTCAAATTCGATTTCCTCATCTCACTTTAATTTTCGAGCTAAACAGAAACAGAGAGGCATGGGACCCCTGGCAGGGGAGATGTGCGTACATATATCACTGACGACATTAGAGGAGTTTTTTTAACTTACAAAAATAGAAAATAATTAATTCCTTGCTAAAGTTCCTTATTATATTACGGATGTTCACTTTACTTTAAAGAGCAAGTACAAAATACTAACTGTATAAAGTATCTGTTATCTTATCGCATGTAAAAAAACGAGCTATAATTATTTTGTGCACTTTTTGAAGAAGAAATGTACCCCGAAAGAACTTCAGTGAAATATTTGGAAATGTTTACTTCAGCATCTACTCATACTCAGTTTTTATTAACTTTCAAGGCTTTCAGCTCACTAAGCTTGGTTATCGTTCAAAGAGAAAGGGAGGGTTGGCGAGCAAAAAAAGCAGCCATTTGCACTCTCTCCTGACAAGAAAGTCAGATAAACCTAAGGTGTCACGAGTAAGACACGTGCGAGAGTCGGTAAGCCTGTCACAATTTAATCATAAGAACCATAGAACGACAACGATGCGCATCACGTGAAAATCATGTGTAACAATGAAAGTGTCATCCATATGCAAAGCGAGCAGGCACCTAGATCATGGCCGGAGACAACAGAAGCGAAGGAACTGAGAATAACAGTGAATACGTGATGCACTGATACACTGACGCCTGTGTAATTATAATGCAATAAAGATAAGGTTATATTATTAATTAATAGCAAGAAGAATGAGCAAACTCATTCTCTATTGTTAATTAAAAAGTAATAATAATAATAATGATGATGATGATGTTGATGATGATGATGATGATGGATTTTTATCGGTCCTAAACTGTAAATTTAAAAATTGGTCCGTTGAAAAAGTATTGAAGAATTTCCTGCTTTATTCTGTTACTGGTCCTGTAACTGTGCGGTAAGGATGAAATCTATAATCGTATTTTAATATCTTCACCTTACTCAACGGTCAATTTTATCTCTCCAAACGGGACCTTATCACCAGTCAACAGTCCCTTTGTATTCATTATCTATTTAGACTTCTGGCAAAGAAGTTGAGTTAATTAGTATGATAATTAATATATCATAAACATAGGTTATTGATTGTTTTGTAATCTTTTCCTTTTGAAATTATTATTTTGTAAAAGTTAATATAGTAATTTTTGTAGTATTTTGTTATTTCAGTGTGGAATAATTAAACCTCCTGTACATAATCGAAATAATTTTTCTACGATATTGTCTCTTTATAACATAACTTATGGAGAAAGCTTCCAAAGAAACGCTCCGCCCGAGCACTATACCCGGAGACTTTTAAACCGCCTATCTGATGAAACCCCTCTGAAGCGCATTTTTCAACTACCGTACCATTAGCATATGCAAACAGAAAGATGTTTCCGTCAGTCTTGGTTTTATGTGTAGTTCTTCTCCAGGTCAATCTGGGCCTCATTTCTCTTTTAGGGCCACGTGTTTTTCTTGGCCTTGGATACGTCATCGAAAAAAAAATTACCGAGAAGGCCTGGAAAAACACCGTACATTGACTTACAGGGACTAGACAAGTGTAATATTCTTTAAATAAGGGAGTGTACATGTCTCCTATACGGTGACCCCCCCCCCCAACCCCCGGGGGAAAATGACTCCCATATGGAAGATACGACTGGTCCGGGAATACTCCTCAGAAAATTAGAAATAATGCCGTCTAAAATAAGACCACGATTTCCTAAAAACAAAAAGAACAACAACAACAAAAGAAACGATTAAAAGCTGTTAGTAGTGATATAACGTGGCCAACTGGTTTTCTTGGCCTTGGAAACCGCAAAAAAAAAAAAATTACCGAGAAAGCCTGGAAAAACACCGTAAATTGACTTACAGGGACTAGACAAGGGTAAAATTCTTTAAATAAGGGAGTGTACATGGCTCCCAAACGGTGACCCCCCCCCCCAACCCCCGGGGGAAAATGACTCCCATATGGAAGATACGACTGGTACGGGAATACTCCTCAGAAAATTAGAAATAATGCCGTCTAAAATAAGACCACGATTTCCTAAAAACAAAAAGAACAACAACAACAAAAGAAACGATTAAAAGCTGTTAGTAGTGATATAACGCGTGAGGCCAAAATTTTAAATTTATTCTTCCTACGCGAGACGACGAGCATTTCCTTCCTTTTCATATGGGGTATAAAGGGGAGACCTTTACTCGGGATTTCCATCTCATCCGTCAAACCTTCGTCTTTTTTTCATCAAAAATTAACTGGACTTTTTCTTTGTCGTTTTAGGGATCTCGGTCCTGACCTCTCCTGGGAGGACTCTCATATGAAACAGCCGTGGAATGCTCGCAGAATTTGGTCTAGCTTAGGGTATTCAGGGCGGAAAGCTGTTGTATTTTTACCCATAGAGATATCGCTTGGGGTTGTTTTGAATATACCAGTTGTCATACTGTGTATGACGCAATCACGCAATTCATTCCACATCTTTGGTACATATCATATAAAGCTCTGGTAATTGATGATACCATGTTTAGTTCAGTGGAGTCAAGTGAAGGCAAAGCCACGCCCAGAGGGGCTAAATTCCACTTCCTACGAGCATTTTCGTCGGTTGCCTACGAGATTCATCCCCGGGATTCACTTCCCCCCTTCCCCTCACTCAAGTACCTTTTAGCTTGTTGCAAGCAGCAGTTTGATCGAGCTTCAATCCCAACAATGTACTGACCCAAGAACAAGAGCCCATGAAACTCTTTCCCCTGTGTTCCCTGTTACATCAAGATTGAAAATGCTGCGGCTATGTGCCAGCGGCAGCAGGTACCTAGCCTATGCCAGGCTCTCAGATAGTATAGTGGGGACGTATTAAAACGAGCAGAGCGAAAATTAGCCTCCCACGCAGGCGTTTTTAGGGGAGCTCGTTTTTCATCCCTCCCCACAAACGCCTGCTCAACCGAAAACAACATTCCTTTCCCATGCTTAGCCAATCACATTGTACTCTCCAAATTCTGGAATGTTGACCTTGACCGAAAGGTTATCTGATAATTACTCGATCTGCAAGAAACACTGGGAAAGCTTTCTGACATCTTTTATAAATGTTAGAAATAAGATTCAGTCAAATTTTAGAAAACTCCATGCACTGCATAACCTTAGCGAAGGAAAGAAGGAAAGGAAAACAGTAACTCTATCGTTAAACGACTGCTTTGCTGGTCTCCCTCTACGGGAAGTTTTTTTCTTTGGAGTTTCGCTCATAACAATCTAAATCCTCTTCGAACACGTTTTCGATTTGGCGTGATTTAGCGCGAGTTTATGTCAAACAATATCATATTTCCCGATCGAATCGGTCACCGTTGCGATGACAGGGTAAAATAACAGGACGTCGAGAGACGGAATTTCATTGCATTTCATCGTTTAGCCTGTCAACACTTTATTGCACCACTGTTGATTAGTCACTTACCACGCAAATAAAACAATGCGAAAGGAAGGTCGGTACCTACCTAGGCCCCGTCCACACGTATCCGGAGATTTTTGTATCCGCAAATTTTTTTATGCGGATACAAAAATATCTGCGTCCACACGTAGCGTATACGAATCGTATACGACCGTCCACACGTATCCGATTCGTATCCGGACATCTCAAAGGATTAGTCAACAGAGCATGCGCATTACAAAGAAAGCTGAGTCTGCGATAATTTTGGCGCCAAATTCGCGGCTTTCTTGTTTGTTTACTTGAGGTTTCAACACGTGTGAGCTTGAAGAGCGAAAAAAATTCCTGTTAAAAAACACCATAAAAAATGTCTCAATTAAGAGAAAAACAGAAAAAAACCAAAGACAACTCATTTGTTTGGACGGACGATGAAGTATTGCTGCTTCTTAAAGTGACATTGGATTACAAAACAGCAAAGACTATGGAAAATATCGATTGGGAGTCGTGCCAAACCAAATA